CATGCAGAGACTAACTGCGCCGATTGCGCACGCGGTAGCTCGAGGTACACAGTGGCTGGGCAACGAGTGGAGACCTCTGCCCCTCAAAATAGACAGCTAACAAATAAGGGACTGGAACGAATCCACGATACACCTACATAAACGTATCACACATAACCCACGAAGTACACATAGAGTTCCGGCCCTCTCGGCCATCCCCAGTCCCCCGTCCCCTCCGTCCTGTCCCCCGTCCCGTCCTCCGTCCCTTGTCCTCCCCGCGTCCGCTCCGTCCTGTCCCCGTCCCAGTCCCTGTCCTCTCCTGTCCCCCGTCCCTCTCCCCCGTCCCCGTCCCCGTCCGTACCGGCTGGCCGTTGTTCAGCAGGTCCTCTTTGAAGCGGAGTTTTCGCTCCAGGTCCTGGATGACGGCGTCCTTCGTGCCCTGGATCTCCTCGTCGGAGGCTATCCGGGCCGTCCTGCCGGCCTTCTTCGGAAACCCCCTGCGGGACAGAGCACAGCGCCGTCAGGGCCAGGCGCGCACGCGCGGCGAGTCGGGGCGGCAGAGACGGCGCGCGCGTGCGGGTGCGCGGGAACGGGGAGGCTGGCCCGGGCAGCTCGGGTCACCCTGACTGCAACTGGGTTTCGGAGAAGGCCCGGGCGCCGCGGGGAGCGCGCCTTGGGTCGGGGGCGTGCCGAGCACGGGAGCCCAGGACTCGGTCCCGGGGGGCAGCCACGGAAGGTGGAAGAGTGACGCCATCTGTGATCACACCTAGGTTTCACGTCGGACTCTGCCGCGTAGTGTCAGGTTTGCGGCCCTGGCCAAGCTTCTTAACGTCTCCTACGACACAGGTATAAAAGCGTAAGCCACACAGGAGTGCTGGGAGGGTGTGGAAGAGATCATATTCCCGTCACACTTTTGTTCAGTCTCCTGGTCCTTGGCGACTCATCGTCCAACAACGCGCCCAGCCCTCTGAGCGAACGCCGTGTGTTACCGTCCCCTCACGTGCCCACGTGGTCAGGGCGGGCCGGTGTTGGGGACGTAAGGCCTGCTCCACACCAGAGGCTCGGGGGGCTGGGGCTCCGCAGGCCGTGTGCGGGCGCGCCCCGAGCCGCCCCGGCCCACCCAGCCCAGGGCTCTGGGCGCTCGGCGGGCGCGAGTCGCCCCTGTTGGCGCCTTGCACGGGCTGCTCCCTCCTTCCCTTCCTTCCCTCCCAGGGCGGGCGGGAGACGGACGAGACACGGAGTGCCAGGCCACGGGGAAACGACCCATCGCCACCCGTACCAACGAAGCTGAGCTCCAGAAAAAAAACGTTAGAGTTAAAACTGGAGCAAGTCACAGAAAAATGTACGTGACGCGCGTCCATTTATAAACGGGCCAAAGCTAAGCGGCCCGTGGTTCTGAGTGCGGTCCCCTGTCAGCTCAGCCCGAGGAGCTGTGGTGAGAAGCGCGGTCCCCTGTCAGCTCGGCCCGAGGAGCTGTGGTGAGAAGCGCGGTCCCCTGTCAGCTCGGCCCGAGGAGCTGTGAGAAGCGCGGTCCCCTGTCAGCTCGGCCCGAGGAGCTGTGAGAAGCGCGGTCCCCTGTCAGCTCGGCCCGAGGAGCTGTGGTGAGAAGCGCGGTCCCCCGTCAGCTCGGCCCGAGGAGCTGTGAGAAGCGCGGTCCCCTGTCAGCTCGGCCGAGGAGCTGTGAGAAGCGCGGTCCCCTGTCAGCTCGGCCGAGGAGCTGTGGTGAGAAGCGCGCTCTGGAGCCACTCCAGACCGCCGGGTGGAGGTCCAGCCCTCTGCGTTTCCACAGGCTCCCCAGGTGAATTCTGATACGTGCAAATGTCTGAGAAACACAGTTAGGGAAACTATAAAGGGAAGAGAATGGTTTACTCAGAAATTCAGGGTAGTGGTTCCCTCTCAGGCAGAGTGGAGGAGGCAACTGGGGAGGGTCACACGGGGGCTTCGGAGGTACTAGAAATGGGTAAGGGTTCCATTTTATTATTAAGCCATATGTACACGTGACACCTATTTCCTTATTTATAGCATATATATTTCATGACAAGCTATTCCTAAGTTTAAAAAAGGTCTACTGCAAACATGTCAAGGGACTGTGTGCTAGTACCACTTCACTGATAGAGCAGAAAGCGCCAGAAGGCCAAGATGCGCTTAAGTCCTGGGGCCCCCAACTCTCGGCTTCTTACTATCTCACCCACCAGTGCCGGGCACAAAACAATCGCCAAACACGTAGCAGAAGACATGGGGATCCCACGGCAGCCCTGCACCAGCCCTCGCCAGTCACCGGTGTCTTCCCAACCCTAACCCTAAGCCTAGCCACCTTTCCTCTTGTCCACAGCCCTCTGTTTCTTAGCTGAACTGTTCCTGATTTTGTTGGGTGTTCACTCTTCCATGTGCTTATCAGGGAAGGATGGCATGGTTCTGACCCAGGAGATTGGGGGACTGGAGCTGGGACAGAGAGGGTGAGGTGCTCTGGCTAAAAATGTCCCCGTGTCTTGAGAAGAAACATAGGGAGAAATGCCTCTCTTCTCCACTGGCTCCCAGCGTCAGAACTGTGACGCCCAAACCTGCTACATCCACACACGCTCTGCGGAGAACCAGTAACGTGCCGGTGTGACCGGTTGTGAGATGGAGGGTGCCTGAGCCCGGATAATGCTTTTGGGGTACTGTGTTACCCCACCCTGGAGCTGCCCACCCCAGACTTGTTCTGTAAGTCAAGCCAGTAAACTCTCATTGACATATGATCTGCTTGCAGTTGAGTCTTCTGATAGCTACAGTGGAAAACATCCTAACTGATAAAACCTGTTTTTCCAGGTTTGTCCTTTTTAGTCATTTGCCCCCAAAGTTCAAATAAGATGACACTAGACTTTGACATTAAAGAAAGTAATTAAAATATTGTCATATTCGTGTTTGTAACATCTAACAAATAGTTAATCAAACTTTATTTACTTATTTTTATTCACGATAGGTGTGAATTCACCCATCCCCTCCCACCTGCTTCTAAACAAACTTGAAGTCGTATCCTGCTTACTTGGAATGGATCCTGATATTAGGGAGCGGGCAGTGAACCTATGTTGACAGTAAGAGCCACAGGAATTATTATTTACAACCTCAGTTTTGAGTGCCATGCAATCCCTGGACAAAAACGTGCACTTTGCCAGCTTTCCCGAGCCTGGAGCCCTTCTACCTTCCTGCTCTGCTTCCTGGGGTTACTTGTCAGCCTTCGGTTTAACGTCTCTTCAAAAGGATGTCCCTGACTAAGTCCACCCGTTTCATTACTGTAACACGCTTGTGTTCCTCATAGCACCTATCACACTATTCCTGCGTGTGCTTTTAGCAGCATGGCTATTTTGTTAACCACAGTGTTTGTTAACAGACCATCAAATGATATTTCTGGGATGAGTGAAGGGATGTGCTACCTGTCTCTACTCTGACCTTTCCTCCCAGTCACCATTTGTGCCAGAGCCGCCTGAAATCAGACTCCATGCACAAAGCCAGCCTCAGAACAAATAGAAATTACACAGTTTTGGAAGTACAGTTCTGTGCTGCTTTTGACTGCAGCCTTGCATCTGAGAACAAGAGGAGCTAGGATTTGTAGTCACCTGAAAGGTAAGAGTCAAGGTAGCTAGCTCTCTGTCACAGCACACCTGACTGGGGACACGTTCCTATTATTACCTGTGCGCAACATGAGCCTGTCACACGACTGTCGGGGAGCGGCCTTTGAGGACAGAAGGCAGCACTGAGCTTTGTTCAGCTGAGCCGTGTTCTCGGCACAGATGGGAGGGGATGGGCGCAAGGGCGGCTAGCAAGGGCGGAATAGATCGTCTAAATGAGAGGAGCAGAGAACTGGGTTTTCTAAACAACAGCCACGAGTTCTCTCGGACAACCACACACCTGTCTGTCCATATAGAATAAGTCCTCTTACTTGGGCAGCAGTTCTCAATCTTCTTGACTCGTAAGGGCACTTAGGAGGAGGAGGATGTGGACAAGTAGGGAGGGAGTGAGGAAGGAATTCAGAGTCAGCATGAATGAAGGCACAGAAGTGAGAAACCTTTTTTTTTTTTTTACCACTTAAAAGCCACGAGGCTTGGGCTGGTTACCTAGTGACTGTGTGCCTCAGTTTCCCCCTCTGTAAAACGTGGGTATCAACAGCATGTACCTCACAGGGTTATTTGGAAAACGACATGCGCTCGTGTGTGTGGAGCACCCAGAGCAAGCAGTGCCTGGACGGTAGGAGCGGCTCTGGAGAGGCCCACGGCAAGCACCCGGCGTGGGGGTGAGTCACAGACAGAGGCGGGCGTGGGAAACGCAGGGAAAGAGAAGGAGGAGTTTAAAAAGATGCCAAGAAGTCCTGACCGGAGTTTCCAAGATTGTGCGAATAGTCCTCAGCTCTGTTCTAGGTGCAGAAATATGATGCTGCACAAAACTAAGTCACAGCACTTACGAAAATGACATTTCATGGTGGGATGGCAGAGAGGGAGGAAAAAAGGACAAAAGGAAGGACACGTGAGGGGCTGGCAGGCGCGGGTGCTGGGCAGACAGCATGGTCAGCCGGACCGCGCAGGAGTGGCTCCCGGCGGGCCTGATGGCAGGAGGCGCTGCTGTGGCAGGGCCGGGACCCATGTGGGTCCAGAGTGAGCCCCACAGGGTCAGCAGGCGCTGGGCACCCCAGAGGAGAGGAGCAGAGCACAGTGTTTCTCGCACTCATGTTCACATGGAGCCCCCTCTTATCTTCAGAAAGTGCATCTCACTGGGCCGATGCTGGTCAGAGAATGCCCGAGGGAACCGTGCTAACCGCAGAGGACAGGGCTTGCCCGTCAGGCTAGAGTCAAAAACTCCGCCGGGGTGTTTGGGAAAGGGGAGGTGCCAGGGAAGAAGAAAGCAACTGCAAGTTTTTGAGGCAAAGTTTTGGCAACTGAGTTTGTTTTCCTGTAAAACAAACAGGAAAACTGTGTTGAGCTGGTGTGGGATGGTCGTGGGTCTGCTCACCCACACGGCACCCACTTTTGCTAAACGAAGAGTGGCGGTCATTTAGGAACTAAGGGCATCTGGGGACAAAAACACGATCTCCCTAAACGATGATTTGTACAATTAAAAACAATAAAGTGCTATTCACGGTCAACAGTTACTGAAACCAGAACTCTTCACCGAAATCCATACTGAGGGCCAAACCTTCACCGCCAGCAAGCAACTCGCGGCGGGCTGCCCACGCCCGGTAGGGCGGCCCACCATGCAGAAACGTCCTGCCCTGTTTACTCTGGCGCCAACAGCAAGCCACTCGCCACTGAGAATAACATTCGCGTGGCCGGGGACAGACACGCCTCACACACACGCAGGCATCTGGAAGGTAAAGTCTTCCAGATTTGACCACCCCTACATCCCAGGAGGTGTTTTGTTTTGTTTTTTTAGCTACTGACTAATCTCGGAAGCATCCTTCCCATCACGTGCCACTCTAGGTCGATCTTGTGGTAGGTTTCAGAAATGCAAATCTCCAGAGTGCAAC